TTTCTAAAATTAATGTAAGTAAATATAATTGCGAGGGTCTCAATTTATTTACAAGAAATTACGTAGGTGGATAGGATTAAATATATTGGCCAGGCATGAAGAACATTTCAGTGGCTAGCTTATAATAGTTTTTACTTCCTCATTCAATGCAAGATGTAGTATAAGCAACCAAGAAAACATACAAATATTGAAATATTGAATTATCAAAGTTTCGCTCCCAAACTTTTCCCTATATGCACGAATTTTTCTGTGTATTGTATCCTTTAACATTTTTGCAGTTTTAAAATTTGTGTTTTTCAACATAATATCGACTACATACAAATTGTTTTAAGAAAGAACAGCTAAAAAAGCTATTTTCTTGCAGATGGCGGTATTTTGGGCAACTGCATGGTTGTTATAATTGGCTGTTTAATTAACAAGAAGCGTAATTGCAGTAATTTAATGATGTCAAAAACATCCTTAGCACTAAATAAAATATGTTATTTGGTCTTATGGTGAATAACAGTTGAATCACAGACATAAAATTTGATTTTCATGCATTTTTGTCATTTTCAACGGAATTTCTGGAAAACAGCGCTATTTATTAAAAATCCGACATTAATATTTCAAAGTGCTTTTGATAAGTTGCTATTTTACATCTTTTCTAACAGATTTCTATATGTCCATACAAAATATCATTATTCAGAAGACAGAATATGCAAAAAATGCTGACTTCTTGTAAAATTAGAAGTTGTCCGTCCTTGACCTTTCGTTGTGATTTGACAGAAACTGCACCATACGGATTTTTGACGACCGGGCAAAAAAGGTAGTGCAGATGATGTGCTTTCGAATGGTTTATGATTAATCCGTATGTTAGGTGGGTGCATTAAAAATAAAATTTTATGGTTAATGTCACTCGTCTATTTAGTCTTTTATCGATTTCATGACGATCATATATTGCCTTTTATTATTAATTTCAAGTCCAAATATTGGTATCTGAAATACCGAATCAGTGGTGTCAATGAACGTCGCCTGAAATGTTGGAGGTTGTGAATTAGATTTTTTTATATAAGTGCCTGCATTCAAAGCTTATCCACTTTACATGCTGTTTCTAAGATTTAGACCAATTATTAGAAGCTTGGAACCATTTTAATGCTAAGAGGTAGACAATTTATGTCAAACACAGCTTGATAGTCTTCTGAAAGTTAAATGCATACCGAATTCATACCACATAAATATATCACATAAACATTTCAGTCTGAATATCCATGTTACAGTTGCCGCTGTTCATAAAGCGCCATTCTATCCTTATGAGATGTGGGCATTTTGATTGATGCATGCCCTCAGTTTTAATTACATGAGCAACACTATGCAATGTTAATGATAATAAAATATTTGTGTTGTCATAAGTTTGGGTATATAATGTTTTCTGTCTCTTGGAGAGGCTTGCAGATACTTAGCCTGTTGCCCAGTCCAATTAAATATATTTCGAAAAAGAAAAAAAAAACACTGTTCATCAAAACCGCAATTTAAATGATATAATGTTTTATAAGTTCACATCACTGGTACACATTTTAGAAAGTTGAAGAGACCAATTTTAATGGTAAATTCTTTTGTTTGATTTATGTCATATATACTTTTCCTTTATTGATTTAGCATAATTTTGGTCGTTGTTGGTCGTTGTTTGTCTTATTTTAATATGTCATGAAAAACTATAAGTAAAGTCGAGATATTGTATTTTCGAGTGATAGTAAATGCAATCGGATCAATTAACTGCTATTTCGCAAGCTCATGACTGTTTATTTTATTATGATGACTATAAATATTTATGGCAAAAACTATTTCCTTGAATATAACTTAAAATTTAGCGTTTTACATTGTACTGGTTTTTTTAAAAAAATGTCTTAGTTTTTTAACAAATGGGCCGGTTTTTTTAAAGAAAAAATGTGAATACGAAAGAAGGCATTTTTTTCTTCTAAATTTCAACTGTTATCTATAGTGAAGAACAATCTTATATATTCCCAGGAAGACACACAATATATATTTAAATATTGGTCAAATTTAACTTTTTTTGATTTAATGTTAAATTTCTGTACTGAAAATATTTTACAATAACCTTGCAGTATTACGACAAATAAGAAATCTCTGGGTGCTTTTTAAAACGGTCTTTAACACCGAGTACAGGGGATTCTCTTGACTTTTCAATTCAATCTCGTGCTAACTTTGCATTTACAGTCAATAGTAAAATGATTGGTACATATTACAGAGGCGAATTCATGAGTTTTAGAAATAGGGATAAGAAAAATTAGGAATAGCAGTGAAAAATCAGAAAAAAATAATATAAAAACAAATTTTCTACTCAAAGAGAACTCCCCGCAATAAATTAGATTACAGTAACAAAAACCTTAATCCGCCATTGTACTATTTCCCATTGACAATAACATTTGAAGTGAATAGAATATCCAATAAAAATATTAACAACACGACTGCATACGTCCGAAGCGCTTTTCTGTATTTACCTACATCCGGAACGTTCTAAACTGAATATTTGGAAGCCAAGTAAATATAAGAACCGAAACAATTGAAGAGGTGTATGGCCAAAAGGGAAATTAGAAATAGGAAAATTCATCTAAGGGAAACTTTACCCGAGGGAGTTGAAGCCTGAGTTTCTTTATAATTTATTTATAAACGGCCTATTTTAAATGATTGATTGTTGGTTGCCAGTGGCAAATAGTTCATGCATGTTCAGGACGATAACAAAATTAACAATAAATACAATAGGTAGGTCCTGTAATAGAATGCCTTCAGGCTGCAGGTCGGCAAATGAATATCGACACTGGAAAATGAGGGTATATTGGATAGGGACAGAAATTACGCAATCAACGAACCACTCAAAAGGTTCGTAACGTGAAGAGAGCGTGGCACTTTCTCTACACGCCCAATTCTGACTGGACGTGGCTGCGTATTTTTCTCAAAGTTGATTGTCGCAAGATAACTTACAAAAGTGCAAATAACAAATACGGAACTATCCCTTATTTCAAAAATCGAATATCCCGTTTCCTTTTATTCGCTATTGAAAAATAGCAGTAATCACAAAGTCGACAAGTAATTTCTGCATAATGTCATTTAGTTAGAGAATCAAAGTGTGTCAAAATCAGGTCTTACTAATTATTTTTTAGACTTAAAGAAACATATTTCTCTTTTTCATCCTGTAGATCAAACAAAAGAGGGGCGAAAGATAACAGAGGGACATTCAAACTCATATGTCGAAAATAAACAGACAACGCCATGTGTAAAAAGAAAAAGACCAATAGACAAACAAAAGTACATAAAACACAACATAGAAAACTAAAGACTGAGCAACACGAACCCCACGAAAACTGGGGGTGATATCAGGTGCTCCGGACGGGTAAGCAGATCCTGCTGCACGTGTGGCACCCGTCGTGTTGCTTATGTTATTACAAACACGGTAATAAGTATTTTGGTAGGTCACAAGTTAGCCTCTTGTTTTATAATTTTTATTATATTTAGTTTTTATGAAAATATTGTTTTCGTTTTGATTTATTTTGGTAAATTTCATTTCCTTTCCTTCCATTCTTATTCCGTTTAGAACTTGTAACAGGTATCTATTTTTTAGTCCTTTCCCCCATTTCTATATTTTAATCAAAAATCAAAAAATTCAAACTTTCAAAAAGCGAAGTATCAAAACTGTACGTTCAGTTTAATATTTTTTAAGTTTGCTTAAATATCTAAACTATTAAATTCTAAAACGAAGTTTATAATTTAAAAATTTTAATTATTTGGTGAAATTTTCAAAATTAAAAAAAAAAAAAAAATTGGAATTTTGATATTTTAAAACTTTGATCAAAAATCCAAAAAAATAAAATTTGAAAACTTTTTGAAATTTTGAATTGATAAGTACTACACAGACCTGAACACAACTTAAGTGAGTGTTTGGACAAATGTAAAGTTTACGTCTTAATATCTTGTCCTATACATATTGCCTTGTCTTGTTGCAAACATATGTGTAAACATCTTTGTTAACTTTTGAATGTGTATATTTATGATGAGGAAATCTACTCAAGCCAATTTCTTTTGGTAATTCTCTTTAAATAGATAGATAATTGAAATAATAAGGATCTTACAAGGCTCTGATCTACTTTCTGTTGTGAAGACAATTTTTTGATCCTCCGGTTTTGTCATAATGATGCATACCTTCAAAATTTTGAAGGCAGAAATGAGTTTCAATTGGTATATGTTATAATCACGAGAACAGAAACTTGTATCTCAATTCACTGGTAACATGTTTTCACTGTCTTAGATAGATACCAGAAAAGTCGTCTGATCTGTAAGTTCACCGATTATGACATTTTAGGAAGGTGTGGTTTCACACGACGGATGATGTATGCATAGCAGGAGACGCTTTCCATGTCGACGCTGCATGCCGCGCTCCTGTATATGAGCTCATGCGATTGTATCACATTTTGTTCTTTTTTTACCTGGATTTTGTATCTTTTAAATATATTTTCTAAATTACTACTGCCTTCATATTTTTTTCGTATCCTCTGCAAACAGGAGAAAAGAACAGCAAGATTAGTTTATCTTCTTTTTTTGTCGATCTTCACTATGAATGATATAAAATTTATTCATTCAGAATAGGAACGTATTTCTGTTTATTGAACGATTGAAAAGTGTTGGTGTACATACAGAAAAAACAGTCATATCTAATTAGAGTGTTGGTGTACATACAGAAAAAACAGCCATATCTAATTAGAGTGTTGTGTACATACAGAAAAAACAGTCATATCCAATTAGAGTGTTGGTGTACATACAGAAAAACAGTCATATCTAATTAGAGTGTTGGTGTACATACAGAAAAACAGTCATATCTAATTAGAGTGTTGGTGTACATACAGAAAAAAAGTCATATCTAATCAGAGTGTTGATGTACATACAGAAAAACAGTCATATCTAATTAGAGTGTTGGTGTACATACAGAAAAAACAGCCATATCTAATTAGTGTTTTATTTGATTAATTGAATAATAATTCCTCGTGATTTGTTTACACTATAACTGTCCTTATTCGAGTATTAACCACTCACATCTGAAAAATATATGAATATTCATATAATTGCATCCCATTATGAAATAGTTAGTATATAGTGTTCTAGTATTTTGGTGTCGACCATTATAGTCGCTAAATTTTGACCCTATCAAAGTAATGATGATAATGACTGGAAGCTGCGTACCACCCAGATGAAAATTAAATGCTTTTTCTGGACGAGGTATAGAAATGAAGAATATACGCTAATGAGACAGTAATGAGACCCATCAACACAAAAAACCAAACAACTTCTAGAGGATAACATACAGACATTTGTTTTTTCTATTTTGTGATGTTACACTATTGTATCAGATAAGAGTAAAGGTTTGGTACCATTAAAACGTTTAAACCCGCTGCAATTGTTTGCACCTGTCCTAAGTCAGGAATCTGATGTTCAGTAGTTGTCGTTTATTGATGTGGTTCATAAGTGTTTCTCGTTTCTCGTTTTTTATATAGATTAGACCGTTGGTTTTCCCGTTTGAATGGTTTTACACTAGTATTTTTGGGGCCCTTTATAGCTTGCTGTTCGGTGTGAACCAAGGCTCCGTGTTGAAGACCGTACTTTGACCTATAATGGTTTACTTTTATAAATTTTGACTTGGATGGAGAGTTGTCTCATTGGCACTCATACCACATCTTCCTATATCTATTTACAATAGATAATTGTATTCGATATCATGTCAAGCTCTTAATCATTTCAATATAGTATAAGGAGATGTGGTATGATTGCAAATGAGACAGCTATCCAACAGAGTCTATATGACGTGAATTTAAACAACTATTGGTCGCCATACGGCCTTCTACAATGAGAAAAACCTATAACGTAAAGTCAGCAATTAAAGGCCCCGACATGACAGAATGGGAAAGAATTCAAACGAAAAACACCAACGGTCTGTTTATAAAGACAAAGGATTTAAAAGTTATGAATAAATTAAAACAGAAACTATGCAAAAATTTGCAATCAAAATATTTTTACTCTTGTAAAACAGGTTTAACCCTTCTAAATTTGGTGCTTGTACCTATTGATACTATTAGGATTATGGGGTTTCGTTGTTGCTTGTCCTTGTTTGTATGTCAGATCGTTTTTTAAGAGTCAGGTATCTGTGGTTGCGTGATCTGTGTAGTTGTTCAAAATCATTGGTTATATTCCTGTTATCCTCAGGTATCTATGGTTGTATGTCTGTTGTATAAGTCGGGTATCTGTGGTTGTATTTCTGATGTATGAATCGGGTATCTGTGGTTGTGTGATCTGTGTAGTTGTCCAATATCATTGGTTATATTCCGGTTATTCTCGGGTATCTGTGGTTGTATGTCTGATGTATGAGTCGGGTATCTGTGGTTGTGTGATCTGTGTAGTTGTCCAATATCATTTGTTATATTCCGGTTATCCTCAGGTATCTGTGGTTGTATGTCTGTTGTATGAGTCGGGTATCTGTGGTTGTATTTCTGATGTATGAATCGGGTATCTGTGGTTGTGTGATCTGTGTAGTTGTTCAATATCATTGGTTATATTCCGGTTATCCTCGGGTATCTGTGGTTGATGTCTGTTGTATGAGTCGGGTATATGTGGTTGTATTTCTGATGTATGAGTCGGGTATTTGTGGTTGTATTTCTGATGTATTAATCGGGTATCTGTGGTTGTATGTCTGATGTATGAGTCGGGTATCTGTGGTTGTGTGATCTGTGTAGTTGTTCAATATCATTGGTTATATTCCTGTTATCCTCGGGTATCTGTGGTTATATATCTGTTGTATGAGTCGAGTATCTGTGGTTGTATTTCTGATGTATGAATCGGATATCTGTGGTTTTATGTCTGATGTATGAGTCGGGTATCTGTGGTTGTGTGATCTGTGTAGTTGTCCTGTATCATTGGTTATATTCCTGTTATCTTCGGGTATCTGTGGTTGTGTGATCTGTGAAGTCGACCAATATCATTGGTTATTCCTGTTATCCTCGGGTATCTGTGGTTGTGTGATCTGTGTAGTTGTCCAATATCATTGGTTATATTCCGGTTATCCTCGGGTATCTATGGTTGTGTGTCTGTTGTATGAGTCGGGTATCTGTGGTTGTTTTTCTGATGTATGAATTTGGTATCTGTGGTTTTAAGTCTGATGTATGAGTCAGGTACCTGTCTGTGTGTAATCTATGTAGTTGTCCAGTATCATTTGTTATTCCTGTTATCATTATTATGTACAACTATGTTACCAGACTTAGTATAGTTTTTTAACAGATTTGCTTTGAATGTATCCAACCAATATTTGACTGTCATTTTCATTTTCGAATTATGAAAGTCTATAGGAGCAGGAAATTATTGGATACATACGAATAAACGGTTTGACAAAAAAAAAACCGAGATGGCATTAAATAAAAATTAAAAAAGCTATGAGGTTTGTTAATATTTCAAAAAAAATCCTTTGATATGAAGATTGTTTCCTGTTAAACAATTCTTTCATAGTGAGTAATGATGAGCGGATTTCGAACCTTTAAAAGGACAGACACCCTGATGATTCTGCCCATAACAGCTATGACTATGATAAACTTGGCCTAACAAATTCGGCATATCACAGAATCGGACTATAAGACGAACCTTAATAAGATGATGTAGACAATTTTGTATAGTTTAGTCGATTTCTATGTTTATAGAACTGTACTGACATGATTTATGACAAACCTTTCTTGATTTGTCCGTTTATAATATCTTTAAATTTTTTTGAAACTAAGGCTTCAACTCACTAAGGCAAAGTTGATATTAGATGGATTTGGGTATTATCTTATGTTCCTTTTTGGTCATAAAGCTCTTCAACTGGTTCGCTTCTGATACATCCTTGCTTTTAAATATTCGGCGTTGGTCGTTGTTGATGAAGGTAAATCCAGAAAAGCCCTTCGGACGCATTACATTTTTATAAAATGTTATTTTCATTTTTTATAGAATTTAGAAATATAACAAATAATTCAAAGGAATTGTTTAAAATACTGCATACTTTTGGGAGTGTCACAATATGGATATGTTTTGGTTTATAATGAAAATTTGTGTTGTTAATCAAAGTTCTGCTCGTTTCCGTACCTATTAATAACTTAAAAGATTAAACACAATTAAAAAAATAATCACGCGCCAATTTTTGAAACACACATTTTGAAAAATAAATCCCCAATAACGAATTATATTTTAGAACAATTAGAAAATCCATCAAAAATGCCACATGGCAGTCATTCTCCCTAACTACAAGTATTAAAGAAGACGAAGGCTTCTTAACAGTAGAAAAATCAGCTAGAAGAACATTACTTTAGAAATCAATAAAAAAATTAAAATACTAATAAATCGAAAAACATTTTTTCTGTCTTTCGCATTGTCGCAGACATCCGTTCTGGTTTTCATTTTTTCTATATTTTGCGTAAAAACATCATAGAAATCTGAGACGATGATCTGGTCGAAGCATTGAACATAATAGTTTTTCAATCTAATTAAAATATAGTTCTCTGATTTCGTTATACTCCTATACGAGCACGCGATTTAAGATTGATCAGAATTTTAATCAGATTTAATAGTATTTCAAATGTAAAAACAAACAGTCACCAAAAATTCATTACAACTCACCAGGTAGACAACAGGTTTGTCCAGCAAAACACAAGTGATATTGATCATAATGGTAATATTTGGGACAGCTTTGGCTCCACACGCATTTTCCTGCATGACTGGTGCAAGTGTGGGTTGAATCACCTAAAAGATGAAATTATATGAGGTAGATTAACATAGTATAGATAAAGGGTAGCATACATATTAATTGTTTCAGAGCAATTGAAGTTTACCAGTATGAGTTTGAATATTCCTTTGGTCTTTCGCCTCTTTTTTATTGTTTTATTTTCAATTCGCTGTTATGAAATTTTGAGTCATTTTAAATTAAGGAATGTAACTCCCTCATTCATAGCTTTGATTCATTGTATGTGTTTGGCTTTACCTGTGGTCTTTTGGGTTTTTTTCAGCTCTTCAACGTTTCTATTAGGTTTAAGACTTTCTGATATTTTTACCTCGAGCATCACTGAAGAGACATCAAATGTCGAAATGCGCATCTGGTGAAGTAAAATTGGTACTGTTAATGTTATTTTCATTCAAAATGTTGAATTACTCGAACTAATAAAGGTTTGTCTATCCAATGCATAGATTGCATTAGCTGTATTTGGCACAACTTTTCCGATTTTTCGGTTTCAATGCTTTTCGAATTCGGTTTTGATCATTGGGTCTTCCACTTGTTTTGATTGGAGCGCCACTGATGTAGACGAAACGCGCGTAAAAAATTATAAGGTGGTATATTTGATCGTGTTTGTTCATCCGGTTTTGCTACGGTAATATTTTTTTTCATTTTATCCAACAAAGGACAATGAAAACAAATTCTAATTCAAAAGATTTACTAAAGCAAAATTTTAACAAATAAAATATAAAAACTGCCATTTAAATGTTATAATTATACAATTATGACATTGCTGATACTGAATCCGTATTTTTGAAGTTGAAACGAACCTAGCCGAAGACTTATTTACATAATTTAAATACGTTACGTTTCGGTCAGTATTTAGTGCGATAAATACTCATACTTTTGGCGAATAAATCCTAGAATAATGTTATAAAAAAACTGAACAACAATGTACACAATATTCTACATCTTCAATTGTCGAAAATATCACGTGACATAACTGGAAAGTTAGAGTAGATTTCTTACGTTATGACAATAATGTCATCTTTTATATCAAATTCTGTTATGATATAAAATTACATAATTTCTCGAACGATTTCAAAAGACCAAAGTCATCTTGACAGAAATCAATTTAACTATAACACTTAATCAAAATGGAAATGTGATTTCTTAAAAAAAAACTCAATTTCGCATCACAGTGGGAAATCTAGTGAAAAAGAACAAAAGAAAATTAACTCTTTTTATGAGAGTCGAGATAATTGCATTAATAGCTTGTGAAACTGAAATGTAAAAAATGTTAATCTTTGCTGCATATTGATAAAAAAAATTGGAAAAAATCATGTACATACAAAATCTAAAGATCTTTCGGGTCACCAATTTTTGGAGTGTTCCACAAAGTCCTTAGCATGTTACAATTTCCAAAAATATACTTATTTTTCACATTCTAAGTTTTCAAGTACACCGGTCTGCTTTTGTCCCATGAAAATTCAATATAGAAATATTGTCTTTTCGTGAATATAACAATATAAAAGTCTGTCTGTGCAGGTTAACATTATGATAAATATTTTTACAAAGTAGGTATCTTTTTACTATTTTTTATACAATTTTAAGAAAAGGTCGTCTCAATTTTTGTACATGTATTTACGGTCTTCTCGATCTATTGACATTTAATGTTTACATCGGTATAAGGTCCGTTTGAATTTGCTTAGTAACTTAATTTCAAAAGTGTTAATCTTTGCTGCATATCAATCGATTCCTTTGGTATTTTCCCCGTGACTTTCTCTGATCTAGCTGCATACATATACGGATAATTATCATGTTCCAAAGAGGTATACAGCAAGTAAACAAATAAATTGAAGTTGGTACTCCAAGAATTTATTCGCATAGCAACATTTTAAACCAATTTTACATCAAGCTCCTTTAGCCTGCTGTACTAGTCGTTTTCTATTTATGGAGGGAAATGATAACATTAAATGGAAGTTTTGTTTTTATTTCACCTCATTTCTATTTTTACTATTTACCAAAACGTTTTCCCGTTCATTTATAATTGATAATGTCCTTGCTAAAATGGGACAAACATTCAAAAGATCTAGTTTTCAGTGTGTACAGGGGAGGTAATATTTTTTCACTAGATTTACCACTGTTATTTTGAATTTTGAATAGGAATGAACTACGTAAATCCGAAATAATTTTAACAATAGCAATATATTATACTCGTGATGGAAATATTATAATGAAACAATAATGAAGTGTATCAAATTTTTTTTACCTGGGTCGGACATCGCGGTCATCACTAGGGTTATTAGCACCACTATCTGGATACCTTTCATCTTGTTTGGATGAAAACATGAATATGGAAGCTGATTTATACATCAAGTTAAATTGTATTTATACAGATGTTTCATTGATACTATACAAACAATAAGTAGAAATGTTTTGAAATAGGGATTTGAATATTACACTCTCATTAGGACAACTGTTGATGTTGAAAATACTAAAACAAAAATTGTTACTAATATTAATCTTGTTAGATCACATTGTATTATGTAATAGAATGTTTCTAAAGAAATTTTCATTTTCCAAACGTTAACGAATCAAGAATAACAACAAAATAAGTAGCTTAATTTATCGTGGTTATTCATAATTATTTATTCAAATGTAATAAAACATGGATATGCAATATACCTTAGTTAAGCATTAATACGATTAATTCCTAATATGCATTTTCAGCAAAAATGTTTATAATTTTGGATTAAGTTCTCACTCAAATTACGTTGAATTCAAACATTAATTTTCATCAGATGTTATTTAATACCAGAATTATTCAACTAGAACTGTAATACAAAGTCAGTCCCGAAAAAGATTGAATTCTAAATTTCGAAGAGCATGTAAAATCGTATTCGATTTCCACGCTGAATTTTAGAGAAGTTATGTCCTATCATATGATATATGGGAATCAAATTGAAATTATCCATTATTTGTTGATTTGTTGAGACTTAATAATATATTAAATAGGTAACAGAAATGACCAACAATTGAACAAATCAACCACCGACACCCAAATCAACCGAAAATAGACATACAAACAAAAACAAGTAATTAATGATCGAGATAGCCTGACTTTATAGACGGTTGCTGCTTTCAAGGACGTTAATTAAACCATTAATTTCAAGTGGTGAGGTTGAAATCATCTCTACGAAAATTTTACGGACGCCATCACAAGTTGGTTGACCGTTATGGAATATCTGTTTCACAAGGGACGACGAATATGTTCTAAATGTCGTAACCACAATCCCGTCCTCGTTTCCTCGAATGTGACCTACCGAATTAGACTGATCAACGGGTTTGTACTTACATGAGCAACAAGACTGATGATACATTTGGAGCTGTTTACACTTCCGGAGCACTTGAAATAACCCCCGAATTTTTGTGGGGTTCGTGTCTTTTTTTATTTTTCGTTTTTTGCCATGGCATTGTCAGTTTGTTTTCGACTATCACTTTGGTATCTTTCGCCTCTCTTTCAATACAGACACAAAATGTGAAGGGGTTAAACCAATTTTATGAGCTCTAAACTCTCCCCCCGTTTTGCATATTATAGACCGTAATTTATCAAAGTAAAAAACACACAAGAAAAAATCTGCACAGCACAGCTACAAACAGGATAACCACTAACTTATACATAGAAATAAAAGGCACCACATTATTCCGAAATCAGGGTCAAATTTAGCTTGCTATTGTTGAAAGCAAAAGGAGCTATTGGTCACCCAAGAAAAACAATTCAAAGACAACACTTCTTACAGGTTTTAAAAGCGTTTATGAAAACTATGAAAGTTAATAATAATTTATGGACAAATTTGTTTCTTGAACACACATAAGACTGCAAGAACTCCAATTTGTAGATTTGAAAAGAATTTAATATTATTCTTAAGAAATATATCTTTATATACGTAATTTGGTTATCGCTTTAAATTATATTCATAAACATTGCCTCTGACAGTGAGAACTTTCTTTTAGTTAGAATTGAGGAACACGGATAAATATCAACTGTTGATCGAAAGAGATTTTTTTAAATTAATAAATGTAATCATATTACGTCATATTATTTCTGATCACATGATATCTCGATTAACGGAAATTATTACCTTTCACAAAGGTTTCAAAAGATTTTTCAGCCAGCAATGAAAAAATGGATTTATTGTTTGAACAATAAGATTTCCGAGATATGCAGATATTAAAAAGAAAATATAGAAAAGGAAGATTTGAAATATGTTGATCCGCCTATAAACAGGAAAGGATTTGCTTTACGTCTAGTGGCATACATTTTAGCTTAATCAGGACGACAACAAATTAACAATAAATCAAATAGGTGTGTCCCGTAAGTTTGTTGTCCCAGATGAAGGACTTGAATTTCAACTGCCATTGGCGAATGAGTGTAAATGCTGGATAGGGACGGACCTTTTGCTTTACAACTGTCCACCTGCATATATCTTTCAAAGAGTTGTTGAAAGAGCTCTTTAACGATTAGAGAGCGTGGCATTCTCCCTAAACGAGGCATTTGATTTTAACGTTCCTATTCCGATCGGACGTGACTGCATATTTATACACCCACACAGTCAAACGGGAGCTCCTCTCGAAAATGGTTTACGTTCTGTCGGGGAAAATCTAAGGTTGGCTATATCATTTATAGTTATTTTGTTACTATGTCAACCCTTTGTGTACGAGACAACAGCTTCCAGTTACCTCAAACATATAGCACAAATATATAATGAAAGGAAAACAAATGCATATGCCGAGTAGGAACTGCTTATCCTTTGAAGCACCTCGATTCACACACGCTTTTGGTAGAATTCAAGTGGCTAAATCATATAATTCTTTGATTTGTTTTGTTAATAGTTCGTCAGTTTAATCTTCCCTGTACTGTTGATTCGCTGTCTTCGACTGCTAATAATTTTTATTATCCACTTGGTATCATCATCATTCCTTAGGGTTTAAATATGTATATGTTGTGTACAAGTTATCATTTTGTACAAATTATAATTCGTACAAAATAATTGTACAAATTATAATTTGTATTTTGACTTTGTACAAATTGTGATGTGTACAAAAAGTGCTTGTACAAATTACAATTTGTACAAAATTATACTAAAATTCACTTACAACTTGTACAATAATTTACAGTATGGATTTTGTTATAAAAATAACATTGATACACACTATGGAATTTTTATTCAATGACCACATACTAAACTTCATTTACAAAACACTAGAATAGTTCTGTACTATTTGTTTGAGCATGTGAGTGAATTATCGCATCGGGAATTGCACTTCATTTTTGATTTCTCAGCAAATATCATGTTGAAATTCCTACAGTCAGCTGTTCCATTGCGGTACCCAAATTCTCCAGATTCAATAATAACACATAAGATATTTCAAGGATCAGTTGGGGCACGATCATACTAAGGAATTGGTATAATGACATTATCCCCCACAGCAAGTTCTGATAATTTCCCTTTCGTTTTCATTGTTAGATATTCGGCATGGATCTGTTGGTCAGACAGAGCACGCTTCCTGGCACGTATGATTGGTGTTTCAACGTCTGTGTCATCAGAATTGTCACTGGGGCCAATTTCTATTATACTATCAGAATTTTCACTGAGGCCAATTTTTATTATTCTATCAGAATTGTCACTGGGGCTAATTTCTAGTGTACTATCAGAATTAACTGGCATGCATGTATCAATTACATTTCCTGTTTCCATCTGGGTATTTTTGTATTTTGTAAATAAGGTTTATTATGTGGCCATTGAATAAAAAATATAAAGTGTGTATAAATGCTTTTTTTATAAAAAAAAAAATCCATACTATAAATTATTGTACAAGTTATAAGTGAATTTTAGTCGAATTTTGTACAAATTGTAATTTGTACAGGCACTTTTTGTACAAATTACAATTTGTACAAAGTCAAAATACAAATTATAATTTGTACAAAATGATAACTTGTACACAACATATATATGTTTGAAATGCATTAGCAGTTCGACGTTCGATGTTAAATCATTTAAAACATTTTAGAATCGAAGCTTTCATCTGTTTTATTATTTGTTATTTCATATGTAAAGCAATTGCAAAAACCTGAACAACTGTATCTCTTCAAAATATAAAAATTCGTATACGACTGAATATTTCATGAATTTCAAAACGTAAATGGCAATTTCTTTGTCCATTGTTGATGTATTTGTAGGTTTTAAATCTGTTGTTGTGTTTTTCTTTTTCATATTTGAAAGAGATTAGTCCTTGTATAAAGTATCATTGTATTTATCAACTTCATATCATCATGTCTTGGCTATTAGTTAAACAGAAAATATTACGTCCTATGAGAGTTAACAGTTATACATAAAGTACAATGAATGACGACAGAGGCTATTATTTTTAAGTTTCCATTTTATAAATGTCATATCTTCAAATTCATAGTTAATCTCATGCTTTCGTATTTCAGTTGTTTTATAATAAAGATCTTTTACTTTTATCCAATATATACTTTCTTTATCAGACAGAAAACCTTATTCTCAGTTTCAATCCTTCAATACTGCCCCTTTTCAACATACCCTCTACCAGTGACACTATAAAGCTCCTTCCCTTCATCCAGATCTACCCATTTTGCAAAACTTACCTATTGTATTTATTGATCGTCCTAAGTTTGCATGAAATATTTGCCACTGGGCATTCATGTAACAACAAATAATCAACCGACAAATCAAATTTAAGAATAAGAATGTGCAAAAATATCGTGGTTAACAGAAGTCTGACTCGGTAAGGACATAACCTATAACGTTATATAGCTGTATCCAAATTTTTGTTTTTCATTTTAAGTTGCGCGCAATACTCTGAATCATACTTATGGAATGCGTGTACATTGCATCATTCGATTCCTGTATGCATTATTCTTATAATGATTATTTATATATATAATGTTTGAATGCATTGGAATGTTTTAACCAGTGGGTGCTTTATTTAATGAAATAAAATGTTTGAAATGATTGAATTGCCAAGAGGGAGATCTAAATTGATAAACTATAAATGACACGGGTCTCCCACGTTTAGTTTTAAATTTAAGTGTAAAATTTATTTTAAATTTGCATGATTTCGTAGAATTTTCATTTACGAAATAATTCGTTCAGTTATAACAACATTTATTTTCAATTTACTTCTGGTTTAGTTAAGAGACAGTTTTTAAGAGAAAACAACTAACTCACACCTTCGGGTTTTTTAAGCTATGATTATCATATACACATTTTTAGTACTGATAGGCCACACTTATTTTGAATACGTATATTTGAAAAGTCTATTTTAAGCATAAGCGG